GATTTTCCAACTTGAAAATTCCTTAAAATGACAAATTTAGTTAGAATAAAGATAAATCAGCAATTTAACTACAGTTTGTTGAGGTGAATATTACGATTTGACTGCATTAAAGGGTAGTATTCCTAAGTCATTGAATTGTCTTATTGCACCTTACATTAACACAAATCAACCCCTCTTGCCTCCTCCTAGAGGTTTTACTTCAGCATAGTTAGCTTGCAAAAGGTTGAACATTACTGCTCAGCGGAGATAAGCAAAACAATCATAAGTTTTAATGGCAATATGATTAATTTTTTTGGAAGAAATGGATTATTGAATAAACTTTTAATTTTCCCTCGAAAATCCATATCACTAGACTCTGGCAGACAATCAAAATACAAGTAATATAGGTGTTCACAACTAAGGCATCATATTTTTTTCCTTTCAGTCAAGATCTTTGCAATAGACTTGYGCCCATCACTGGTCAAAGATGCTCTTTTTAGAGGCAAGTATTTTTCTTTGTCAATTCTATAACTAAAGCCTACATCATGGTATGATACATCAATACATAATACATRATGAATATTGATGATTTCTTTTCTTGGCAATAGCAATGTGTGAGCTTGGTGTGGACTCCATTGAGTCCTTTATTATCTCTCGAGCCAAACAAGAACATATGACAAGTGAAGATCATTTCAAAGGACTCCAGCAACTATGGGAGGCAAGTTTATTCTCACTCATGTTATAGTTTTCACCTATTTCCATTTTTATAAGCTCCAGACAATTAGACATTTCTGACAACTAGGCGACTCCTTTTTACAGTTGAGGTTGGAGTTGCCGCACATGCGTGGCAACTCCAAATTTGAGATTAAAATGGCAGTTTCTTTAACTGGTAGAATAAGGGGATGAGACRGATGGTCTAATATGATAAACATTTTTCATTAGGAAATGGAAGAACTCTACGATTGTGGCTATGTGAAAACTCTTGGAACTTGTGACTTGGATAAGGAAACACTGGAGAAGCTTTATAACTGGGCAAGGGTAGGTACCAAGAAAAAAAGAGTTACATTAAAGAATGATTTATAATCCTGTGAATAGAGTTTGTCAGGTCTCTTTCTCTCCCAGCATTGATTCAAGGGCTTTTCTCTA